ACACACACACACACACACACACACACATTGACATGCTAAGGTAAATATCAGACAAACCTGTACCTGGATCATAACTCACATTTCCAAATGCTTTATTTAAACAGAGATTACTTCTTCTCATAAAGAAGATAATCTTCTCATAAAGTTAAACTCTTCCATCGATCCTTCCCCTGTTTTCTCTCACAGATGTGCTCATCATAGTTTATGTTCAGGAACCATGTGTCTACCTTCGATACAATATCAGTACAATCCACGTCATGAGAAGTGCAATAGTCAGTATGGGCAGGACTGCAAATGAAAACTAGATACTTGAGATCATAGACTGTGAATAAAGATGGACGACAAGTCACAACTTCCTGCCATGATCCAGATGTGAAGTCAAAATATCTCTAATATGAACGCTGCCATCTTGCACATTTGGAGTCAGAGAAACGTTGATACCAGGATGTAAATTATTATTCTAATTCATTATTCCATTCCTTTACTGTAAATTCTTCCGTCCCTATCAGGATCCTATAGATCGATGACTGTGGTTTTGCAGTGATCCTATTAGACAGTAATTGGGCTGTAGAAAGGTTTTGCATCTCTTTGTCTTAAAGGTTACTATGGTAATCTACCCTGGTAAGAAATAACACTGACAACTCTGAATTAAACCTGGATCTACCTCGATAACAACAGATCCTGCTTCATAATGAAGGCCCCTGCCTTTCAGGTATGAATCAGCTTGAAGGATGTTCAGTGTTGCAGCACAGAAAGGTGCTTTTACCAAATTTAGTTTGAGAATAAAGTGTTTTGATTGTCACTTTGAACGAGTACCAAAATAATAAATAAAAAAACAACTAATACATGAAACCCAAGAATGCAGGGAAGCTTTAATCCATTTGAACTCATCATCTGACAGCACTGACCTGGTGATCTTGTCGGTGCAGGACATGGTGATGAGCTGCTCGCCCTGTAAGACGCCGTCCCAAGTCTGGACCGCCCCCCGACATCGCACCGGCACTGTTCCCTCCCCGGACTCGATTTTGGTCCGCAGGTGGTTTCGGTGCTTCCTCATGAGGTGTCTGCTGCTGTGTACTGTCAGAGGCACAACACACACACAACCACATTTCAGGTCATTAGGTCCTCCCTTGCAGATGCTGTCACGTGTCATTTCTAAATAATAAACAGTCAATTAGCTTTAAATACAATGAAAGTGGAGACTCCAATATTACACAATATTGACAGGAGCTTATGTCGAATAATAATTATGGATATTCTCAGCTCCTAATTATTGGTGTAACAGGCTGCATGTAAACTTAAACAGTTTTGTCCAGTGAAAGATAATTCATTCACACAGCTTCAAGCAGTTTTCACCAATCCATTAATCTGCAGCAGACTACAAATACTGCAGCTCCTTCCAAAGCAAGAAAGTTTAAATCAGGTTAATGGGCTCTTTTGGGGAATTAGATGTATTTTGGGACCGTCGCTTGCCTGGTTGTAAATTAAACAAGTGTTTGAATGGATTGCAATTAATTAATGTCACGTTATTATTTTTCAGTTGTAAGACTGACTTTGCTCCTGAGTGAAGGTTATAAACTCTTTCTGTATGTGGAAGGCATATCTCGCAGAGTGTTCATCTTATTGGCTTCACACTTGGCATGTGTGTATTTAATGGCCACAGGAAATTTATTGTCAAATTTGGTGTGATTTGAAAGCACTATACCTACAATATTAAAAAATAACTGAAAAAAACCATACATAAAGCTAATTTAGTTTCACTTTATGAGAAACATTAATTATGAATTCTTTATTGCAGATAAACCAGGTGGGATGTTTTCTAATTTCACCCTGCACGGTAGACTGTTTTTAAAAAGCTCTACACACAACGTCCAGCGCACAAACAAAAGGTTCACAGTATATTGTAGAACTGTTTGAGGAGGACTCACTAATGAATAGAGAAATCATTCTAGAGGCAGGCAGAACAGACACTGCACTAGTTTTACAAGCTGAGGTAGATCAATTATGTGGTCTACCTCCTAACTGTGCTGCACAAGGCACAAGCAACATATCAATAGGCTAAATATATAACATTTGTTACATTGCTATTGATGAAAATTACATTTCTATAACTACTGATATTGTTTTACCATGAAACCCTAATTCAAACAGAAGATGTAGATAGATAATCCTTGTTTTTATCATAACCTCATTTATTATAGGAAAAACTCTTCTTCCTTTCCAATTTTTTCCTGTGTGGCTGTGAAAAAAATGTGTAAAAAAAAATTAAGCCCCCCCTGACAGCTCAGAAATATTCCAGGAAAAGGTACTAAGTCATTTTCTAATCTCTGAGAGTGCACTGCTGAACATTTAAAAAGGTTTAATGACCAAAAACGTCAAGTTCAAAGGCTCCTCTGATCTGACGCCATCGTCTTTTCTGCCTCTCTCTACTGGTTTCATGAAAATCCCACCATGTACTGAGCTGTGTACATACATACATACTCTGAGCTTCAATCTGCGATGACAGATGGAGAAAAAACACATGCATTCTACGTATGGAAACAGCAGTCCAGATTACTCGTCAGCATTTTTAAATGAATGTAGAATTTATTTTCAGTGGGTGAGCGATAAAATGTCACTGAGCCAGCACAGCGTGGCTGGAAGAGGCAAAAGGAGTGTGACATGGAAAAGATGCCAGCACCTTCACAGGAAATTATCTTAGAGGCTGAATGAGGGCAATGGCAGATTAAACTAAATACCGATGTGTGTTTGTGTGAAGTCAAATAGTAGAATTTTGTATTTTCCTGATTTTAGTCAATGTTGTCAACTGAGTGAAAAACAAAGGAAACAGAGAGGCCAGGTATCTTACGGTCAGTGGTGATTTCATAGGGCGAGTTGAGTCTCCCGTCGCCACACGGTGACGTGCTGATGTACATGTGGAAGTGGACATCGTCTCTCAACCTGAAGCCGCACTCCTTGTGCCGCATGAATATCGAATCCTCCCAGTCCTCTGGCCTTTTACTACAGGAGTGAAAGTGAGAGGAGAAAAAACACAAGAGAGACAGATGAGAAAAGTGGCAACATTCATCACAACATGGGAAATAGATTTCTACTGTTCAGAGACGGAGAGAGATGGACACCGGCCCTCACTCTGACCACAGTCCCATTCTCCCGCCGTCAGACGGACTCCTGGACATTACTCAGGCTGTCCAAATGTCTCAGGGGAGACAGGGGGAGGGCGTTTAACCCACTCCTCTAAACATGCTTTGCATTTGTGTCAACATAGGGTCAAATGAAGAACTGGCTCAGTTAAAAAAGTGGTTAAAATAGAAGAAACATGACAGAAAGAGAAATTTCACATCAGAGATAAATTGTGGACAAAAAATAATTGACAAAATCTTGTTAATCTTATTTATTAATATTGATAAATATAAATATATGAAATTGTAGACGCAATTTTTTAACAAAAAAGTCCTCTTCATTTTCATTGCTGAAGAAACACAATCACAGTTTTTTCTCAACACTTCTCCCATTATGGCTGTAGGAGTCTGGAACAATGCACAGAGGTGGGAAATGAACATGACATCAACAGCGGCGCTTTGTTCAGGTGACATTTGCACTCACTTTAAAAATAACACTGCCGAGAAAAACGTGAGCGTATAGTTTTGTCAGGAGAGAAGCCCCCACCACATACCTGAAGATAAACCACTCAGAGTAAGATGACTTATGTTAAGATGTTAATAGAGTTAAACATGTTAAAACCATATAAAAAAAAATACTACTACATTATGTGTTAGCATCTCACAACTATTGGACATTGCTCTCAGAAAGGGCTTTAACCTCAATGAAAAGTCAATACTCCAGTCAGATACATTCCATAACTTTTGATTGAGACACATTTATTTGCTCAATACTCAATCTTGGTCCTTGGAAAACTTAATCAAATACAAACTGTGACTAAACCTAACTAAAGAAATTAACAATAATGTAAAGTGCAGCTACATTTGAAGATTAGTAAAGTTGTTTTCCCATTCATTAATACTGAAGACTTGCACATAATCAAACTTAAAACTCCTCAAAACTGGGTCACTGATTGTGCTGTGTGCAGGAATAAGAGCTTCATCACTCACATACACAAGTTCATACGTAATATATTTAAAGTATGCATCACAATGCAAGCCATGGCTGCACTCTTTACATAACCTCTCCTCTGTCTCCCACGTCCTTTCACTCAGTGTAAATATGGCAGTTCTGGCATTTTGTGTGGTCCTTTCATTATGACTTATCTTCCCCATTAGCCATTTTACTCAGCTGCAAAGTCTCTGCACCTGCCAGCCAGCATTGTGCTAAGACAAAAAGTCAATGCTGTGTATGCAAATATGACATTCAACAATCTCGACTTCATGCCGCTAATCTGATGAATCAGCGTCGCTATAGGGTTCCTCGGGGGGAGCTCAAAAACAAAATAAATGCTTGTGCACTGGAGGAGGTAAGAAGTCAGAACTCACCCTGACTGTCTCCTGATGCTGGTTAAAAAAACTTATTTGGGACAGTCTATGTGCACGAAAGCATCTTGTGCAGGTTGCAAAGGCACAGGAAGTTGTTAAAAAGGTGCTAAAAACAAATAGGCCACTGAGACCCTGAGCTGAACGGATTTGTTTTTGTGATAGTATGCTTGGTTAGCTGGAGAGGGGAGCACACACGGCTCGTTGATTTTTGAAAAGTCTCCAGTGGACAAAGCATGGCGGTTTGCATGAGGCTTATTATAGAGAATGTTCATTGGCACTGCAGCAGGAGGTCACAACAAACAAGATACTTCATGCTATTAAGCCTAATGTAATGCAGTACAAACTGAAGACCATCGGTGGCAGCTTGTGAACTAAAAGAATTACGGAGAAATGGCTGAAACAGTGTAACTTGGACTTATATATACATATTCACCGGTGGATTAACTATGTACTTTTACTTCAGTATTAATTTAGATACTTGTTCCACTTTTCTGCTCCTTTATTTAAATTCTACTATTCTCTCCGATGTATAATTACTGGATAACGATATGACCACCTTCTAAAATGAGTTTAAACGGTTAAAATGAAAACACCAAAATGCTGTTTAGACATTTGAATATCAATAATTATATTCTACTCAAATGAAAGGGGATTTTTTTATGCATCATGATTACTTTTACATTCATTACCAGCTAAATTAAGAAACAATTAGCGACGTGTCTCCACTTCCTCCCACTTTCTGGAAATGAAGCCAAATTATCCTGGATACGAACACTGCTATCTTGCAAATTTGGAGCCAGAGCCTGTGCAGTAGCGACAGGGGGATTGACCCACGATAGCAAGGTCCTGGTGACACAAGCGCTTACACCCATCGTGACTCAGTCTCAGCTGCCATTTGACCCTATTTTAATAGCATCAACTAATTATTAAAAATCAAACTTTCAGTAAAAATGAGCATTGAACATCGTCATGGAGGAGGTGGGGTTTATGACTTATACGGCATAAACTTACACGTTTGCCAAGTTATCATGGATCATTTGTTTTACAGGTCAGTTCAGTACACATGATCAGTAAAGAAGCAACAAATGGAGGGAATGGATTGATCAATAATATGTCGGCTTTCCAGACTATCGGTCGACTACATCTTTTGAGTGTAATCTGGCTATTTCAGGGCCTTAATACCACAGATGCATCAGGGTTGCAGAGAATCAAAGTACAGCACCATTAAAAATGACTGTGTGTCTTAAATATACTGCTGAACATAAAGCTATTACCTCAAGAAGAGTTCAAGTTGAGAGTAGAGGAAGCGGAGCAGGGCTCTCCGGGCCGTGACTTCAGCGTGACAGTCATTGACCACCTGCCCCTGGTCACTCAGATACTCGCCATTGATGCACTTGGTGCCCGTGGATAAGGCCACCACCTGGGCGTGCCTCAGGTCCAGTCCTGTTGAACACATACACAAAGACAAATGTTCCTGTCATACGTTCCATTGACTGCATGTCAAATTTAACAACAGTAAAGTGGGAAAACATTAGGGAGCTCAGATTATAAATGTAGCTGTTGTTTTTCTGTTTGTAATTTATGTTTTCATGCTTAATCAATAAAGACTTGTCTTGTGTTGCATTATATTTTGACTAATGTGAATGGGACATAGGTGTCATAGATTAATCCTTCCACCAGAGGAGAACAGGTCATCTCTGGTTACTGGGTTATTTCCATAACCTGTGTTCTCAGAGTACAGTGAATCTGTGAGTGTCTCTCTCAGAGGCTGCTATCACACCAAACCATCCAGAACTAACCAGATCACCTCCAACAATAAACCAAGTCGACACTGGAGTGGGCTGAGGCTAAAACCAGCAAAGGAAGCAGGAAACTCTCCCTTAATTACTCTGAAACACAAGCTCAACCGATGCACTCTGTGACTCTGTGGTCACTTTACAGATAATAACATCAACCAAGCATGGACATCATGAGCTGGCCCTTTCCCACCCACCTCAGTACAACTTACAAACACCGTTGCATGACCAGATTCTGACCATCTATCCATCTGAGGAGCAAATGTCTTTTTTGATGATATTCTTGATGACATTATCAATGATACAATAACAGCATGAAAAAAGCAGAGAAGCAGACTCTCCACATCGAAGGAGATCAGAACCACTACTTCAGATACAGTTTGATAGATTAGTCCTGTTGTTCCCAACTGAGGGGTCAGGCCCCTCTAAAGACTCACCACATAAATCTGAAAGCACATGAAAATTACGATTTGATTGCATTTTTGAAATAATATTATATCATATATACATTATTTGATTATTTTTAAATGAAAGCAGTATAGAGATGATAATGTTCCCTCTGAAATGCAGTAGATTAGAAGCATGAAACAGCATAAAATGAAAATACTCCAGTAAAGTATATAAATAACATAAATATAATTAGACACTTTCTACCACTGCAAGCATGTGTCCTTAACAAAAGCAGCACACCATCTAGCACACATGCTTGCATTGATTTCATGGTTAATTGTCAGCTATTGCCTCCCTGACAATCAGAACCTTGAGAGTTCCAGATAACTCTGACTGGGTTCATAAGATGGGAGACATTTCTACTGTGACTCAAAGAAACAAGAGGAGAGATTGCAGATCACACGTCACCCCGCCTCGCTTCGTCTTTCTCTTTTCTCAGCGAGGATTCAGACCAGCACCTGGCTGTGTGAGAGGCCGGCTGACTGACAGATAGACAGGGGTTGGGGGTGTCTGGATCAGCACGTTAACGGCATGCCATTCCTTCCTAGGCTGCCACAAATCTCTCCCATCGCCTCTGAAAGTCAGGCTTCGTTGGCTCCTGGCAGACCCGCGGGCGCCACCGGCCCTGCACAGGAGCTTTTATCTGACTCGGCCCAGATGGCACTGTGGCGGTGGAGTCCTGACAAGGGGAGGAGGGCAGGGGGAGGAAAAAGCTGAGGGAGGGTGGAATGTGTGGGGAAAAGGAGCATATAGATATATAACGGAAGAAAGTCTGAGGTAAGATGGAACAAATTCAACTTTTTCTCAAAAAACTTCAAATAAAATCTTCTAAGATGGTATGAAGTGAGATATATGTCCTGTGCTGTTTGGATTATCAAACCTTACTTTCTAGGACAGTAAAAACATTGTTATCAGAACATTGAGATTATTTTCACATGTCGACACATCTCAGTCGTGGACGAATAATTTTGTTGTTTTTACTTTAATTTCGAAAAAAAAGTTTGCCCTGTTTTTCTGAAATAATATAAACAAAGAAAATCAGCAGAAGTGTACTAATCCAGTAAAACAGGGCCAACATTTTTCTCAAGGGAATGCATCACGCTTCTGTCCTTAAACCTGCACTAACCGCTATTTGTTTTTCTGAGAATTTAATCTCTCAGTTTCTATCAAACAAACAGCTTATCCACACTTCCAGCAGATACTATATTAGGCAACATCAACAGTGATTTGGAGTCTTGTGTCTGGGCAGAGAATGAGTTTTAGTTTAACTCTCAGTGGGTTTTCAGAGCCTTTACTCTGAAAGCACATGTCTGGGACACTTTGAGTGTGATGAGAGTGAACAAGTGAAATTGTCTGCTTAAAAAAAACAAAACAACAAAAACAACACACTAAAAGAGGCTAAAATGCTGATTGTCAAGGACGCATTGTGTTGTCGATCCACAAACAACATGTATGTGGGCGGAAAGAGTGGTTCTGCTCCAAACCAATGACGCAGCGTTATGGATGACTACAATCGTCTACTATCTTTTTTTCTTGTCTTATTTTCTTTTTGTGTACCAGAAAAACATGAAGAGGATGTGACATGAGCAGGACAGAGCGATCAGATCTCAATGCGAACATTGGAGACACATATTAATACCAGGTGTAAATGTGATCAGGTTAAAATCACAGCTGCCATCTGGATTTGAAAGTTGTTTTAATTCCTGGTGTAAATGGAGTGTCTGTGTTTTTGTTTCCGCTCAGACTCTGAACTCACCAGAAACTCTGGTTCTTTGTGTCCTTCCCCTACAATCTCTCTCCTCCTCCTCCTCCTCCTCCCACTCCTCTCTGTATGTTTGGAAGCTGATAAACAAATGTGTCCCAGCATGTGGACACATTTGTTACTCAAACTAAAACAGTTTCAATTCACACGGTCGCATCTTTGTGTCAATTTTCACATCTCTGCTTTTTATAAAAGCTCTTTAAAATTGTATTTTCCAAAATCTGCTGCTTGTTCTGTGTAACCACACAGTAATATATCCTATAAAAATCTACTTACATGAGAGGCTGCTGATTCACATTTTGCCATTCTTTTTTTTTCTAAGTCAAAAGTCAAATAAAAACCAGAGGAAGCAATTCAGGATGATAAATTAAAACAAAAGAAAAGTTGTAAATGTATTAAGCCCTGCTGATATAAAATAATAATGGTTCTCTGCTCATATAGTGAGAAATCATATAGCCATATTAATGTATGCATTAGCGTGTTACCACGCATAAACGATTTAAACATCGTATAAACAGATTGTGATGATGTACCATATCAACGTGTAGTGTATTAATCAAATAATCAATCATTTATGGTGAGCAGAGATAAAACAGGCTGACTACATTAAATATTTAAGACAGTACAGTCCGACAGTACATTTACGACAGTACATAAAAATCTTTATATCATGAGTTCTACAATTGTCATTCCCTGTAAGCAGTACACCCCAATTCCTCCTCCACGATAAGGCGAGTTCAAAAAGGTAACAGACTCTCCCAATTCATTCTCCTGCTTTTCCGTGCCGTTCCACTTTGCGATTGTTTAGATCAATTTTGCAGTGGATAATTTCTGCTGTGCTGCTCGCTACCCTGCCATGAAATTGGCACCGAGGTTGCCTTCAGTTTGCAGGAGAGAGGCGCGGAGGACAAGAGATGAGTGAAAGAGAGCGGGTGGAGAGCCAGAGGCGCTGTGCTGTTTTTAAACCAGGAATAATCAGCTGCATCACAGAAACACAAAGAGAGAGGGTCAAAGAAACAAGGTAGAGTGGAGTCAAAGGCCTGAGGCGCTCTTCATACACAGATACATCTGTTGATCACTGCTGATTCAAAGATCAAATAATCATGTACATCACAAAGTGAGACCTGCAACTGCTCTGTGCACAACACAGTCAGTGGTCTTTAACTGGAGGACAAAGCACACGCGGCCAGACTATGGGGATTGGGGACTGAAATCCAGTATCAATCATGGCTGGTGCCTATGCAACCGAATCACAACGTAGATTTCGGTGCCTCAGTCCGGTGCCTGAGCTCTGTGCTGAAACAGTTGCCCTGGTTACAGGCATCATAAACATCAGCACATGTGCCTAATAAATATTGCACTGAACTCTGGATGCAACACTCTCTCTACAGGGCTCTGGCAGCCTATAACATTAACCTGCAGATAGCTAGTAGCTACCTCGAACTCAGGTTGACACAAAAAAACTAAATGCCCAAAGCTAAATGATCAAAGGTTTGGAATATGATCCACCACTGTGTACAGGAAAAACTTAATGAAGCATGTGGCGATGGTGGGATACATTCGAAAGCAAAGGGATGCTTCGTGTTTGACTTCTTGTGTGACGACATGTTGAGCACATCCGCCGGCAGTGAGGGCGTCTCTGGCCCCGACGATGACAATGAATGATGAGTTTGGAGTATTTTGCTGTATTAAGCACTGAAACTATTTAATTTAGTGTTCATTTATCGAAGTAGGTAAGTTTATATTTATCATGGGATTTTGTTATTTAGTTATGATAAAAGCTTTGCACATATTTATATTTGTAGTATAATAACAGTTAAAAGGAATTTGACTTCAAATTTGTTTTGTCCATTAAAAAAAAAAAACGGTTCTGACATCATCTAGGCACTCGTACCATACCGTATCGATTTATCACCAGTATTGGCAAAAAAACAAATGACACCAAACCGTAGCTGTGGCTCAGGAGGAGAAGACAAAGGTACTATGCATGTATTTACTGTTTCTATGGCGACTCACATGTCAGTTGTTCCGTCAGGTGCACACATGAGTTTTATTCACTCTTGACTACTCATTGACGACCTGGACGACTGTTCCTGAGCTCGGCTGAAGTGAAAAGTGAAGTAGGGGGTGTGGTAACAATCAAGCACGGGGGTGCAATTTTCCCGTCAAGAATTAACTGGAATTAGCGCAGACGGCATCGCCCCCCCCCCCCATGAGGTCAAACGTGTGACAAATTTGCACTCATATTTAAAAAACCCTATAATTAACATATTATTAGGCTTTTCAAGGCTAAATTGGCCAGTTTAATTTATTTAACGCTACATTATCTTCAACCATGAGGATTCTGGTTTCCTATTGGGAGAAGGTTTTGTAGCAGATCCAGTCCAAACTGCTTCGGTCATATTTTTTTAAGTAATTTTATGATATCAGCACATGTGACTAAATTTTGTTCCCCTTTAAATCCTATTGTGCCACAACACTATACCCTGCAGACCAGCACTGTGCACCATGGAGTGTTTCCTGTGCCACTTAGTCATGAAAATAGAGCTAAGAACGACATTATGACCTCATGTGTATTTGCAAGTAGAACCTGGGTTTTTTGAACATCATAAAGCAAGTTTACAGTCAGTCAGCATGTTTATAAAAATGCTACAATAAACCGTCTGTGCCAACACTGGATTTCTGTGTAATGGTGCATGGCCTCACTCCACAACACGTGTCCTGCACTTGCTGGTTCCCTGTCTGAATATTGAGGAAAATGGCCGTACTATTGAGGCTGCGTCACACTATGTTACACAGCGCTGCAGCCGACTGTGAGCCAGTCGTTTAGGTTGTTAACTCCAGAGAGCAAACCTTCATTCAGCTTTTGACTTCAGAGGCCAGATTACTGATTTTAAAGGGGCTGGTCTCTTCCTGGGAAACAAAATATGGAGGAAGTTCATTGATGTCAATGAAAGACGCATAAAAGACCCAGGAACTTGTAAAATCAGGTGGTATGTTGAAGGGGGAACTCCAGCGATTCAGAATTGGGTGAGAAGCTTGACCTATAGTGCTAACTATTGCACCAATGTGCAAAACAATTCAGTTTGTATACCACCAAATCACAACATAGATTATCTCAAGGAACTTTAAATTGTAAGTTGAGACCTTAAAATATAATATTATAGACAAACCCAACAACAAGCAAACCTGGAGAGGGGGAGAGATGAGAAGGAGAGAGAGAGGGGAAGATGGTGTGAGAACAGTTGTGTAACTGTTATATTTAAGTTCTGTCAGAGTTGCTGTTATAATGACAATAGTAATGATACTTATGTTATTCACAATAACAGCAGCAATGATTGCATCCATACTTATATCATAAATAATAATAGTAATAATGAAAATAAATATAGGTTGAATAATTTCCAGAAAAGTGTTTATGATGTCACAGTGAAGTTGACCTTTGACCTTTTGCATATAAAATGCAACCACTTTTTTAATGTTATTTTTTATGTTGTTAAAAATGCATCATGATTAGCGTATTATTTTTTGGGCCAAAAACATGTTTTGTAAGATCACAGAACTTTGACCACAGAAGCCAAAACTTAATGTTTGTGCCAAATTTCGAGGAATTCCCTAAAGATGTTCTTGAGAATGGGATGGATGGTCAACCTGTTGCTGGCGTGAAGACATAAAAAATGCTCCAGCCAGTCTTGATAGACTCAGCCAGTACTAACAAGTGAATCACTCCACAACCAGAAAACTAATGCAGATATCTACAAGGTAGAAGTGAAACTATATGCCGACACTAATTTGGAATCATTATCAAACAGAAAAAAGACCCACACAAATGACTTAACCATGAACTTTACCCTGATCCATTATCACACACTGCAATGAAGAGACGCTACATAGCTATTATCACAATCCCTTTATTCTCGTTGGTTATACAACAGCAGGAAAATGTTTCCTAATAAGCCTCCCATTATCTCTGAGCGCCATAAAGCAGACATTCAAACGTTTTCTTCCAAAGCAGAATGTGCTCTGAAGGTCAACTTTTAGTAAACTCATTTATATGCCATTTAGGTTGAGCTCCACAAATCCTATCTTTCATGTGGGTTTTCATCACAAGATGTTGGACGATTATGCTGAATGTCAGCCAGCGTGTGTCGTTTGAGTCACAGGAGATCTCTGAAAATGCTCAGCACTCGCAGAGAGCCAGACAGAGCGAGAGAGAGAGAGAGAGAGAGAGAGAAAAACACATCTTGGCAAGAATAGAGAATTCACCCTGTTGAATCTTTATTAGCTTTAACAGGCAACTGCTCTGAACATATAAGGGCTTCTTTGTGAAAGGCTGCTGAAGCTCTCAAATCTCTCTCCGCTGCAACACACTCTGGGCACATCTCTGCTAATTTTTTATATATTTTTTGCCTCTCAGCAAGCTGTTTTGTTGCCGGATGTGATTACTGAACGTTAAAATTTGCAGCAGCCGGAAGAACAGATAAAGAGAAGAGAAGAATCCCTATTTGAAAAATGGATATGCAGACTAAGAACCATAGCTTAACTGCCATTTGTAATCAACTTGTTTTAAACCCTTTGCTCTCATCTCTTTCTTTGAGTCCCTGTGGTAATTCCTCCCACTCAGAGTCCCAATAAAAAGCCTCAGAAGGAGGTTCTCTGGTCCCGTCCGACAAATAAGTAAAAAAAGGAAGGAATAGAGGAGGGGTGGGCCAACATTTCATGTGGCCGTTCCTGATTTTTCATGTCTCTGAGCACATCTGTACATTGTTTACCATCTCCAGACACCCAGTGCTATCTCAGATCAATTCAAATGAGATTTTCCACAGTATTTGACGATGTGTGCTGGTTTACTTTGGCGTGCGCCTCACAAACTCTCAGGCTGGTGGCGAGGCTAATCTTGCTCAGGTTGGGGCTTCAACTGTCTCGGTGGGTGGAAGGGTTTAGGTGGATTGGGGTTTTGCCGCCTGTCTACGTTTCAAAGACGTACCCTGATTAATATTCATGAGGCGAGAGCTGAGGCATGAAACACACAGGGAAAGACAGAAAGAAAGAGAAAGAGTTGGTGGGTGGGAGTGGGGGGGGGGCAGGACTCCCCAGTGTCCCTGTCAAGTTTTGTTGTCTGACTGCACTGACATTGGCCACCACACCACCTCCGCCTCACTGCGAACACTTGGCAGCCCCACATCTGGATCTTTGAAGATAACGCCTGCTATTAATAAACAAACAGAAGCAATTACTGGGAGGCAGGGGAGAGGAGAGGGATTGGATTAGGTCAGGATGAGCGCTGGTCTCACTGAAGTCTAAACTGATGAGCTGCAGCACTCCAAAGACTGCAGAGATACCAATCCCTCCTCACTGACCCCTGCAGCCCCACAGCCTGCAGCCACACAGGAAGATAAGACTCCTCCATGTGCATGTGTGTGTGTGTCCCAACACTACACTTGTCCTGTATGGCCAGTCTTATGTTATGTCCATCCCACAAAGTAATGTCATCATCATCATGTATGTGTTTTTATCTTTTATTGCTGCTGAAGCTTTTTATTTACAATATGGTTCATGGGATTTTGATGATACGTTACCCCTGAATTGATGCTTCAGATAGACATATGGCTTGATAGGCAGCATCATGGTTCACTCAGTCCATCTTCCTACTAATCTTACAAACAACCACTAATAAGCAGCCAGTCTGGTGTTGGAAATCTTTTCCATGCATGATTTACGTCTTTGATCTGTTGTATCTAAGATAAAAGATAATGGTTTCAACATGAAGCTGTGTGTCAGTCTCAGAGAGCAACAGTAGCAGGTGCTTTGCAGAGATGGTCCCATGGTACCATCAATACAACCATCTACCAGCATGTTGTGTCACTCTCAGCTGTTAGCCCATCGCACCTACCAACCAACCAACCAAACACTACAAACGCTACTAGCAGCTCTTGCCCTTGAAACCTCCTGCTCTCGCAGAACTTCTGCCTGTATGGTTCAGACAGGTGACTCAGTTCTTGTTAGATATAATCCCATGATTCCTGGTGCCTGTCTTTGGACAGACTAACTGTTATAGCTCAGTTAAGTTTGCAGGTTTAACATTTCAATTGAAATACTTGTATTTTTACTTTTTATATTTGAGGCACTAAAGTAATACAACATTCAGACAAGCTGCACTCCCAGGCCTGAAAGGTGCATAATATCAAAATCGAGGTCTGCACCCATCCAACTGACACCAAGCTGATGGTTTTAGATCTATCTCACCTTAACTGTAAATCTGAGTTCTAATGTTGCACAGTTTGAAAAAAAAAATCTATGTGGGCATATGTGGGATTGTGCGAACATTCGTATAAGTATATTGTGTTAAGAGAGGAGTGGAGTGTGTGATTTGGGGTTTACACATTTAGCACGGGCCATTGTGTGCTTTAAGTGTGGACTTGTGTGTGTGTGTGTGGGAGGCCCTGACGTAATGTGCAACAAACACCACACATGAAAGATAAATGAAAGCTTGAAAGATGAATGCTTTGCAATAAGTCATTGTTTCAAGCGGCAGGAGAGCACCAGTGAAAAGCTTCTACCTCCTCCTCTTCCTTACTGTTCCTCCAGCGTGTCACTCAGTCGGGTTTCAGATTAAGTTTTAAGATGATCTAGTTAAGATTCCCTCTGTGGCATCTGGAACTCCTGTCAAAGCAGCCTGAGCACAGCGAGTCCAGCATGCAGTGGGGATGAGTGACACTCACAACCATGTCTCATTCTCCTCAGAGACTCTGAATAGTCAATAATTCATCAGGAAGATATACTCCCCTGCACGAGCTTCAGCATGGAGAGGAAACTCTCTTTCTCTTCCTACCCTCAGTTTATCGTTTCTCTCTCAATCTAGGATTCCTTCCCATTTCTCGTCCTCCCTCTGTGTCTCTTTTTTTTTTACCCCCTCTCTCTATATTGCATCACTTCAATAATTCAAAGTCATATATAAAAGTCAATGAAATTTGCCATACCTTGGGTCATTACGATGCCTGCCAGGGATTTGTGTCGTGCGTGCGCAGGACTGCAGCCGCCCACCAGCGACCGGTACTTCTCCCTCACCAAGTGGAATATCGAATCGGCAAAGTCCTGCAAAACACAATTGCACCCTTAATTTTTATGAGACACAATCTGTGGAGGCTGACCTCACAGGTTTTTATTTTGCTGTTTTTTCTAATCCGTTCAGGTAACAATGAGAGTTTTTGGGCGATTAACCCGAAGGTCCAAGGTGATTTGTTATACATCGTTTTTATGATGTTTTCAATATTAGAATACATTTTGTTGAGTAAACACTTTAGCTTCACAAAATCAAAGACATGGATAAGGTTTAAGTCATGACATACTGTCAGAAATATTACCTGCCGTGTACTACCATCAAATATTGAGTTGTGACTAAATCAAAATAGCTTAAAGCTTTGACTGTTTTGGTTATGAATCTATCTGTTATCTTTTCCCTTTACAGTCGTGATTGTTGTCTTTTGTTGAAACAATTTGCCAACACAGTGAAGCACTGACTTTCAGCCTGTTTGCTGTGCAAAGATGGACACAACAAAGAAGGAAACAGGATGGGCAAACATGTATAAGATGTTTAAAACAGTAGACAGAAATAATATATGAATCAGATTAGATTACACTGTGGAAAAACTGTTTCCTATTTAACCCTGAATTTATTGATGAACTACTGCTCACAAGTTTCCTCTGAGATGATTCGACCATGAGGTTCAACTGTCACTGTAATAAAACTAACAAACCTGTAGAGTCTTGGTGCTCCAGTATATTTATACTGCGAAAATATCAAAACACTTAATCATCAGAGAAATGCACAGAGCTTGTATTGAGAAACTGTAACTGAAAACAAACCATCAGAACTTCCTTATTTTTGTGATGTCAAAAAAGAAACCATGGCACAGCCCACATGGAACCACACTACAAATTAATATCAAACAATATTGCAAAACTAATAATAGAAACACATCACTAAGTGGTCATTGTGTTACTAAACAACTACAAGAAAGACAAGTGGGGGGGAAACACTGCAAAATCATTGAATATCAGATAATATATCACTGCACAGTCCTAGTAGGGATAGAAATAGTAAAGAACACTGACTTAAGTAGATTTTTTCTGATACACCAGATTGTTTTAGTCTGAATCCAACCCTCTGTTTGGCTCATTTCAATACTGACTGACATTTGCAGGTGATTTTTTACTAAACTACAGTAGCAAGCTGCAGTTCCTAACCTGTGGTCGGCCTGGCATGTGTCACTCAGTAAACAACCAATCAGCAGAGGGACTTGAGCTGCTTTCAGACATGCACTGAACTCCAGAGACTCTTCTCACTTACTCCAGAGGAGGTGAATGTGTGAACACAGGTGTCAGAGTGAGAGCCTCTGGATTATCTGCAGACTTTCTCTGCCTTCCTCACTAAAGGTGATTTTCAGTTCTTAAAACCTCATAGATCTTCTCATAGATATTAACACTTCAAGTCAAGCATTACCGAGTAGTAAGTATTTGTGTTTGTTATAGCTGTCCATCTCTTCAGTTGTGCCAACACCTCTCACCAGATATCCACTATCTCACACTGTTCAACAGATGCTGATGGATGACATCCGCACCCCTCCCGACCTTTAATGCTCTTTCCTCTAGTGGTAATTAAGGGCTTAGTCTCAGAGCGGCCATTATTTCAGCCGTAGAACATAAGTGGATCACTGGGAGATGGCACAAGAGTGGCAGCAGGGTGGGTGTTTTTGGACAGATTGAGCCCCCGGTAGCTAAAAGGACATCCACAGATGCCACAGTGACAGACGCATTGAGTGTGAGAGGGAGAGAGAAAAAGAGAGAGAGAGATTAAGGGTGAAAAAAAGACACACAGAGGAGAGATCGGCTGAATTAGCGAGCATATTGCACATTAGAGCCCTCGTCAGTCTGTTGAACGCTCTCACAGTTGGGGCTGGCGGTGGAGGTGCTCACAGCTTGTGCGATGGGTGGTGTTGTGTCTGTCCATGTGTATGCATGCACACGCACATATTGTGGCTCAGACACTGGTGTCAGCCGGAAGCTTTTTTTATTTGGAGAAACGGAAATTGTGAAAAGTCCTCAGAGTTTACTCAGAGTTTCCATCATCAAGCATTAATGCAGCTAAATGTCAGCTCACCTCTGAGACGGAAGTGGCTATAAAAGGACAGGAAGTGCAGACAACTCATCCTCTGAACTTTCATATGATGGTGTTTATCTTATGCTTGAATAATCTTTGTCTATCAGCATGTTTGTTGTTGAGCCCTGAAGTGAGTCCGGCTCATGTCGCAGTGACAGGGACAGAAAGCAGTCGGATACACTCTCCACATCAGTGTCCAGGCTCAAGAGTCAATTCATGTCACAAAGACACAACAAACGGTGACGGCTGACAAAAGGGTTGTTAGAATAAAAATGAATGATGCTATAAAATATCACAGAATAAACTTTTAAAAAGACCGATGAGATGCATTTACTGTGCCCTTTGTTACAGTCTGAACAGCTTTAACAGTTACCTTTGCCACGAGGTCGTACTTTCATTGCCGACTGCCTCTGTGTTTCTGTCTGTCTGACTTCTCTCAACCGATGTCCGTGAAATCTTGTGAATGGGTAGGCCATGACCGAAGGAGGAACCCATTAAAATTTGGAGCAGATCCAGGATTTTATCTCACTTTCTTTAAAACAGTGAACTAGGGTGTTAGCCTTGGAATGCCCTCCCCGAGCATCCCTCTAAATTACGATGAAATTATTTGCGGTATTCATAATAGTAGACCCTGACATGCATCAACAAAAAGGAAAACTCTTTCACTGTTTGGAGATGCTATAGAAGCTTTTAGCAAGGGTGTATGACTCCACCAGGATATCACACTGTCAAGCTTCTGAATTAGGGCCATAGTCAGTTCCAGGACTGTTTAATTATGGATATTCAGCCCACAGGAGTCCACTCTGTAACTTTTTAACATAAACCTTAATAAATCCAGAAATCATCATTGATCAATCGATTACACTTTATTTCTATAGCCCACATTCACAAATCACAGTTTGCCTCATAATATACAAGCCACGTATCAGTAAGCAGTATTCTGAAAGGACATGTCAGGTTCCCACATGAACATTATGAGTCCTGATGGTGGTGAATAACCTTAGATATAAAATGATAAGATAAGATTAAACTTGATGGAGAAGGATATTCCCTTGTTACAGCAGGTCAGAATGAGGTAGATGAGAAGAGATCAAAAATATATAAAATAAATATATAAAGTCAACAGAATAAAAAACAGAATATTTACATAACTACAGAAAAAAATATTTTCCCTATTGAAAAAAAAATATTTCTGTAAAGTGCAGTGGTACAGGATGATTACAACATTTTAAGCAATTCCATTTTTGAACCATATCTGAAGAAATTCCCTTAAAAGTGTGTATTGGGTATAAGAGAATGGGACAAATAGAAAACCTGCAGCTGTTCAAATGTGATCTTTTTTGTGCTTTTGTCTGATTCATATCATTTTAAATGTAATAACTCTGTCCTCTGAGGAAGTCACCCAAGCATTTCCTTTCTTTGTTTCTGAGCCCATTTCACGCCTCCATATTTTCTTCTTACTTTTATTCTAATAGACTATTAATTGATTTATCCAAACAGTAATCAACAGAACCCTATAACTGATCAATGGTTTGTGCCTTTGAAGTAAAAACCTCCTGATGAGGAAGGAGAAAAAAAGTAGCCTTGTTTTCAGATCACTCAGTCTTCCCCTCAACTGGAGCATGAGGAACAAAAATGTGAAAAAAAAAAAAAAAACCCAGCCTGGTTCTTTGTACCTGAAAGTGACATCCAATTAATTCTAACAGAATCCTGCTGGGCTTGGCAGCGTCAGCTGGTGTCGGTCACAGTCTCAACCCGGAGTCAAGTCCTCCATCCCTCCTAAAGGCCTTTTCATTGATGACATTACCGAGGTGAGGGAAGGGGCCAGCTCAGAAAGGCCTGGAGAGCAAAGGTGGAATAGACCCTGGCAAACAGCCTAGCTTTTGGTCCCTCCCTCCTCCATCCTGCCTCCTCCTCCTCTCCTTTTGTTCCCTCTCCTCCTTCACCTCTCTGTCCGTTCATATTTGCTCCTTTTCTCTTATCATCTTTTAAAATCTGACTCCAGAGCTTGTTGCCTTTGATTCTTTCTCCTTCCCTTTAACCACCCAGCCTCCTCTTCATCTTCCTCCTCCTCCTCTCTTGTCACGTTTCTGTCTCATGCTGGTCCGTGGTACAGGGCAGTGATGTGCCAGGACGAACAGTGAGTCAGAGCCTGTTATTTCCTCCTCCTGTCAGATGCAGTGAGCAAACCACATAATCTACATCAGCTGACCACCTGGCAAATTAGGCCGTGATTTTCAATGTAAAACTCTCGCTGCATTCCTCCTCATTTTTCCTCAACATACAGCGCAGCATCATCCCTCTGTGGAGGAGTAGAGTGCCACCTTTCAGTGTGGGCCTAATGTGGCAGAAAAATGGGGCCAAGGATCTCGCTCCCTCCTTCAGACAGAACATCAGTGCCGCACAGCGAGGGGAGGTGCCGGCGTGAGGCTGGCTGGCTTCCTCCTGGAAGAGCATCAAGGTTAACGCTACTCCACAGCAGCTGCATCTGGGAATTTGGTCCCCAAAACTGGTTTGAAGTAACTGATGTATAGCTGCAGTTGGAATACGTCTCAGGTAGGATGTGGCTCTTGTGTAACTCACCCCACCTGCCGTCGTTCCTGCATTAGTTCTGACCAATTTACTAAGCAATTCCTGTGGGCCTCCTCAGGGTAGAGAAAGCAGCAGCAGTTATTTTGTAAATGCTGCAGCTGCAGAAGGTGACGTTTATCGCAGCAACACCCCAATCAGCCTGGATGTAGAAGCAGAGAGCAACATTAAAACTGATCCACTGGCCTTTGACCCCCATTAACACCTGATGGCTATTAGGTGTGGATGCAGCGAGCAGGCTTCGAGACAGACAGACACTTGAATGTGCCACAAAATGATGTAAATGCATATGCATCCATAATCTGTCTCAATGTCTGTGAACAGGGTCCATCATCTGTCAGTGATA